TGTTTGATGCAAGACGATCAGCCAGTCGCATACGCCACGCGTTCCTTTACTAAGTCACAGCAGAATCACCCACAACTTGTAAAAGAAGCAATGGCGATTCGATTTGCCTGCAATAAATTCCATGAGTATGTTTATGGTAAAGACTTAGTAATCGAAACTGACCATAAGCCACTCGAAACTATTTTCAAAAAAGGTTTGCATAACGCACCTTTACGACTACAAAGAATCTTATGGGACATAATTCAATATGCACCGAAAGTAATTTACGTAAAAGGTTGTAAGATACCAATCGCTGACACACTTAGTCGCGACTGCGAGCCAAACGAGGTTGAGGAAGAAGAAGAATATCAAGTCAACGTCACAATATCCAATTCCATGGATGAGCATCTCTATAAGCTTTTCGTCGATGAAACAGAAAAAGATTCGGAGCTACAAATGCTTAAAACTGTCGTTCTTAACGGTTGGCCAGAAACCGGTCAAAAATTACCGGCACCCATAAAAAAATATGCCACTGTTAAAGATGAAATCATTTTCGACGGTGGGTGTCTGTTTAAAGGCAACAAAATCATAGTCCCGAAATCGCTTATTATAAAGATATTACCACAAATTCATTCCGGACACATAGGCTTAACCAAGGCTTTAGAAAGAGCTCGACAATCCTTATACTGGTATGGGCAATCTACGGATATAAAGAACTTTATAGACAAATGCGCTGCATGCCAGCAAACGCAAAAAGCGAATGTGAAAGAGCCAACCATTATTAAACAAATACCACAATATCCATTTCAAATAGTGTCTTCGGATATTTTTCACTACAAAGGCTACGAGTACTTGTTAATAGCTGATCAGTATTCAGGGTTCTTTGATTTTAAACAACTGAAGTCGTCAACAGCAACGGAAGTCATTATTTGCTTACGACAGTGGTTCTCAACACATGGCATTCCAGAGGTCTTCGAAAGTGATGGCGGCCCGCAGTACACGGCAAATAAATTTAAGGAATTTTCAAAGGAATGGGGATTCAAACATCGATTTTCTTCACCGCATTATCCTAGGTCGAATGGTTTTGCTGAAAGAAACGTGCAAACAGCAAAAAACCTTCTAAGAAAATGTGACTTAGATGGCTCAGACATTTACAAAGGGCTTCTAACGCTGCGTAATACCGACCGTAATGCTAAATTAAAATCACCAGCTCAGCGTTTATTTAGTCGTGTCACCAGATCAACCATCCCGACAGACATAACCCAACTAATACCAAAAGTAGTGCCAAAGGTTCCGGAAGAACTCTTTCGATTACGTTGCAGCCAAAAACAATATGCAGACCGGGGCGCTAGTCAAAGACCAAAGCTGAAAACAGGTGAAAAAGTATTGCTACAGAAGGGACATCGTGAATGGATACCAGCAAAAGTAATATCCGAAACGCAATATCCCCGTTCCGTTATAGTACAAACTGAAAGCGGAGCGATTTATCGCCGAAACAATCACCACTTGCGCAAAACTGGAGCTACTATTCCCGATGCGGAGACAAGCGCTGAGACACGCGAGACTGACAGCCAGCAAGCCTCCAGTAAACCAATAGAAGAGCTTTCAAACGAACCTGCAGTATCGAGCGGCGAACTAACGCCAAGTATCAGCTCGCCAACCATCCGAACGCGAAGTGGACGCGTGGTAAAGCCGGTACAAAGATATGGACATACTCATACTTACTGATGCTCATGTAATTGTAAATTTTCTTACCTACATATTTACTACTATATTTTTCAATATATCTTTGCATTAACTCACATCTACTTCCTAATACATATCTTTTAAGTTCATAGTTCCTGAATTCTACTTATGCTACTAATCTATGTTGTTTTCATTCAACTAGTATATGGTATGTATGTCCATATGCAAATATGGATATTCACTAGATTTTTTACTGACTATAGTACTTTAAGATTTCACTGTTCACTGAATTATAATACGTTAAGTTGTTTTATTGTAAAAGAAAAAGGATGTCACATAAGTTATCTTACTTATGAACATTCATCAATAAATCAGTTGCATTCCTACAGTCGACAAGAGCACAAGTCTTTTGCATACTCTCAGCATTGTTGTGACACCGACTGACCGATTGCTTTGTACGTGGCGAACAGGATTTCTTTGTCGGCTCCCCAAGGGCTACCGGTTAGTGACTGGAAGGCTTTGCTCCTAGCTCGCACTTTTTGTCAGGTGGCTGGTGCGTACGCTGAGAAGGAACATGACTATCAAGAATTTGGGACGGTTCACCACCGGTATTTGGTTGATATCGACATAAACGTAGAGTTTCAGCCTGACCTCTTAGTCCAGGTGGTGAACAGTGTGGCGATGGATTTCGCGGCGGAGATTTTTATACATTTTGTTTATAGTTATATGGTACACATTTTTAGGCTTCATTTTCAGCATAAAAATCCGCAGTCTACTCATAATACCACGACTAAGATAAATTAGTGGGTCCTTGGTCCTGTTCCCACAAGCAGGAATTCCAGAAGTCCGTCAACCGCGACCCTAGACTTATTAGTTGTTGTATAACAACATGCATATGTGTATCTAAATTGATTCTTATCAGATTTTCGTAAATATTTTTTAGTTCGCTTGCAGTATTCGAGGCATCTTTATTACCATTTGTCCTACTTAAACTCTTCCAAGGTTTACGGAGATTTTAATCATATACCTTCCCCAACAAGAACTGACCTATTTATCTTATCATTAGTAGCTGTTTGCGCTTCTTTCACGAAATAATACGTCAATACGTTTTGAATAAATTGATATGATCTTTTTTAATTTTAATTTTCACATGCCATCTAATTATATAATAAAAAGTACACTTTTTATGCCGCACAATACACATTTACGTACTCAAATGAGTATGTGAATACCGATAAATTAATACGTAGTGAAATTTATTTAAAAAACAAGTATGTATAAGTAGTATGTGTACACTGAGCGGTTAAATGAAAGCTGGAATACTATTTCGCAAACAATTTCATTGTTTTTAAACAAAATTAAAAATTTAACCTACGACTTAACTACGGGTTTTATTTATATACACACACTTTTTTTATTGCTGGAATAATCAATTTCCCATTACAACCAGAATGCGCAGATGCATTGCATAATTAATTCAATCATAAAAATATACATAAATGCAAAATATAAAACGAACCCCGATGGTCATATCTGTTCTAATAAAAAAAATGTTTTTAGATAAGAGAAATTGTTCACATTGCATGATATGAGCTTAGCTGAAAGCATTTTAAGTACACTTAAGGCTATTTTATGTAAACGCTAAAAAAGCTCCAGTTACAGTTGCATATTGCAAGATGGGTTATTGATAAATTGAATGAACTTATTTATACATAGTACTATACGAGTATAGTCTACAATAGAACTATCAACTATCGTAAGTTTTGTTCTTTGTCTTTAGTTTTAAGGTTTTAAAAGTATTTTTTACTATGTATTCTTTTTTGTAAGCAAAACTCTCCCGATAGGTGCACAATAAACTATTTGTATAGTTAGCAGAAAGTCTTTTGCGTTTCCCTCCCCTTCAAAGAAATGAAAAACGAAAATTTAACACAGTAGAGTATGTAGAGATTATCAAATTAAAATACGCTGAACAGATGCGGCTTTAGCGACTTATTCCGGGACTTTTCTTTTGGTACGAAGTGAGGGAATACGATCAAGCAACGCATGAAATATGCTGCCAGGAATACGTTGATGCTGATTTATCAATTCCTCCAACGCCGAGGCCACCTGAAAGATAAAAACAGAAATCCACTCAAAAATGTTTAAGGTAAATATTTACGTATGTATGTATGTCAAATTGCAACCTTCATTTGCAGCTCCTCTGGCGTTAGCGTGCCATCGTACGCTATCGGTCGACCCACGAATGTGCGAAACTTTACCGGAAATCCACCGTAAATGGGGTAAACCGGTATGCGCACTGTATTGTAGAGTTTCATGAAAAAGTTGCGAAATATGCCCAGCTGTCGGAAACCTTCGCGTAAATTTTGCGTAAAGCAAGGTATTATTGGCACCTTGGCCTCCAGCGCAACCTTTGCAAAGCCAACACGATTACGCCACAACAGTTCATAGTATTGATCGCCGAATTGTGCTTCATAAACGCCACCTGGTGAGATGGCTAGTAAATTACCCTCTTTTAGAATGCCAACACAAGACTGCACCGTGCCGGGACTGACGTGAAATGCCTCGGATATTGTACCCCAACCGGGTAATTTGAATAGAAATCGATCGCCAATGGTGTATATAAGACGATCCTTTTGCAGTATAATGCGTGAATTTAAGTAATACATGTCGATGGGTATAGCGCCATGGTAGTACACAATCAACGCAGGTCCAGTTTCTGGTATATTCTCCATGCCGATTACTTCGTAGCCATGATAAATGCGCGCGTGAGCATCCCACAAAGCGGCGACCAATTTTCGACCGAACTCCCAGAATTTACGATCCGTGCGAACAGTGCGCATGATTACCTCCCTGAAAAGAGAGAGAGAGAGAGAGAGAGAGAGCCGAAATTAAATATTTTATTGGAAATTGGACATGAAAGAAAATAAATGTTAAATTAATAACTATTGGACTAAATAGATATAATAGTGGCGCTTTCTATAGCACTCGACAAAGCCGATGCTCGAGGTATGCTTGGCACACCTTTAAGGACTAGAGCCAGAGGGAGTATCTATCATCTCGGCCAGCAATGAAATTGATGGCATGTGTTCAAAAGTAAACAGTTACCTCTCCGAACTTTCCCGCTTCTTCACTAGAAACCATTTGTATCACCTGGATGAAAGAGATGAGGCTACATCTTGGAATTCACGTCGACGGCGAAACATCCGAAATCTTTCGGACTAAGCCCACTCATTTTAAATCTAACAGCCCTCTCCCACTGCTCCGATCCCGTCGAAATATCACGTCTCCAAGGTCCACCGTTAGTTTAGCTTGACAACAACGATTGAAGGACTCTACGGTCTAGGCAGTCGCTACAGCAACAACAGAGATCCGAAAAAGGAGCTTCCCGAAGCACCGAATGCTAAATTGAGATCTCAATGGTGCAGACCGCCATAAGACGCGAGCTTTTCAACCGGTCAAAAATACCTGGATTAAAACCAGCAAATGACGGTTCGAGAGAAACTTTAAACATGTCCTGATAGATGGTTCAAAGAGAACCTTAGAAGGCATTTTGCGAAAAATTTTAAACAGGGACCAAAAATAACTGTTAACAAAACGTTGTTTCATAACAGTTATTAGATGAAAATATTTTTTATTTCGCGGATAAGAGTTATAGCCCAAGGTTTATTTTTTACGTTGTTTGATAACAGTTATTGCCAACGTACGAACCTAAGAAAACAAAACATATTTGTTGCAGAAAAGTTAAGAATTTAATTTTTGTTGAAAAATATTTTTGGTTTGTCTATAAATTGACAGTTTTTGCTGCGATAAAATCGCACAGATGTGTGCGTACTTGCGTTTTCGAAGCAGCAACGTCTGTAGCATCAAAAACGGTGCAGATTCGTTGCGACAGAATCGCATAGGTGTATGGATACCTTAATTCTTTGTGAATTCGAAATTTCGGAGATTTTTTTTTCGAATACCAGACGAAATAAAATAGTTGTCTCCTCTTTTCGATAAAGGATGTAAAAAAATATTTCACACCAAAAAAATTTTAAGGGAGGTGTAAATATTGTATGAAATGACCCTTATATTTGGTAGCAGTGAAGTGTTTCGGAGTGATTTGGGAGGAAAAGTAAAGTGATTATCGTACTGATTGGTTAATCGATTATTTTTTTTATATTAAAGTACTTCAGTAAACATACATATGCACCGATTTCAAATATGTATTAGGCGCCTTTTTAATAATATTTTTCATAAAGTTGCATAACAATTTAACATGAATTAGTTTCCTACGCCGGCGCTATTTATTTCTAAGATTGACGACGAAATATCTATCGGCGTAAACCTCTTGTTGGTATATGCTTTTATTCAGACACATTTTTTGAATTGCTACCTATAAAAATATTAAAAAAAAATTATATAGTATAAAAACTAGCTACTTTTTTATGGTTTTAATATTAAATATGAAACGGCCAATTTAGTTGAAATTCGACACATAGACCATGTTCGGGAACCTCGGGGCAATAAGCGATTTTTTATATAAAATGTATCACTTTCGGTGATAAAATTTATTTCATTTTTTGTTACATTTGAAATCATAACGTTAAATAGAACTAAATGAGGGCGGACTGCAGGAAAACCTAGTAATTATATAACAAGATAATCCATTAGTAAAAAGTAATAAAAGAACGCAAAAATTGGAATAAGTATGCATTTATGGAAAGTTGCAAGCATTCATGAAGACCCCTATTGATTCATCTATTTGTTAAATTCCGTCGAAGACACAGCGGTAATCTAAATATGTGTGGTATTAGACAATCTCAAACGCCGTTACTGATAAGGAAGAAATTAATCATTTCGATTGAACGTTGGGAAGATTGTATAACNTCCGTCGAAGACACAGCGGTAATCTAAATATGTGTGGTATTAGACAATCTTAAACGCCGTTACTGATAAGGAAGAAATTAATCATTTCGATTGAACGTTGGGAAGATTGTATAGATAGTAAATATGTGTTGATATATTTCAGGGACGGTAATAATTATGGGTAAAATAATATAAATCAGCATTTAATCATTAATTTATGATTTTAGTTTTGTCTCGCTTAAATAATAATTATTCTCGCGGAAATAATAATTATTTGATTTTTAGTTTTTTCGATCCAAAATAATTATTATTTTATGATTTTTACTTTTTTGCTCAAAGATAAAAATTATTATTGAGTTTTATTTTTCCACTTAAAAATAATAATTAATTATACAATTTAAAAGGTCATAAATACGTCTTAAATACCTCTGAAATTTTGACCTGAATATTTTGGGACTTATTCCTTTTATTAGGGTGTCGCTACCTCTGAAAAGGATACCTCGAAAATCACGCTGGTACAGCTTTTGAGTTTTTAAATGATCATTATACTTAAGTGAAAAAATAAAACTCAATAATAATTATTATCTTTGAGCGTAAAAATAAAAATCATAAAATAATCATTATTTTTGATCGCAAAAATAAAAATCAAGTTATAATAATTTCCTTTGAGCGAAAAACTAAAACTAAAAAATTAATTATTATTTTTAATCTTTAATGGTTAAACTCGAAAAATAAAAATCAATGTAAATTACAGAAGGACGTACGTACACAAATAAATCCGTGGGTATAGTTAAAATTGTTTTACGACGATTACAAGTTGTTGACTTTTTTGGTTAAAATTTAAAACCTAATGATTACTTTCCGTCCCTGGTATATTTATACAATTATCTAGTAGGAAAGCATAACCGCTCCTAACAAATATGTGCAATATAAAAGTTTTCAAAGATTTAATATTTAATTTCCACCCACCAAGTCTTAACTGCAATTTATGCCTATTGGAAAAAGGAGATTACAACTCGAAGAGCATAATGGCTCATACTAGAAATAAACTTTGCCGATCATCTCATGTTTAAATTCTTGGAACTGAACTCTTAACTGAAGTTCAGCTTTTGGTGGAAATGGGCTATAAAAAACCGTTCGTAATATGCTGCGATGTTGGCGTCTAAAGTATAAAGGATTAGCTAGCTGTTTTTTATCTCACTCTGAACCGAGGAAGCGAGCCACTTTCATAGTGCTTCTGGTATCAGGGTCTGTATGGAGGTGCATGCGATGAGATGTTGAGTGTTGTTTGGACCTTGTCCGCATGCTGGGTAGATCCTTTCCACATTTGCAGTTGAGCGTTGTTGGGGGGTGGTTTCCACGGTGGCATCCCACGAGCAATCGCTTCGATAGCATGGTGTTGCTGCTCGAACGATATGAAGTAAGTTTCTCCACTGCGCCTTCAAGGCTGAAAGATGTGCTGTTTTCATGGGATGACACTAAAGGGAGGGATGTCCACAAAGCATTTTGTTGTGCTCCATTACGGGGAGCACTTGGGCCTCGCTATGTAGGTGGTGCTCAGGCGACATCAGAAGGCACCCAGCCGCTGTCCGGAGTGCGGTGTTCTGAAAAATCTGTAGATACGTTCACTGCGTCTAACTAGTCCCGGCCGACCAAACTGGTCGGCATCGTTTAGAGCCTGACGGCCAATTACCTTGTATGTTGCCGGCAACGTTTCTTTGTCTTTGCACCAGGTGCTGCCGGCGAGCAACTTGAGGACCTTGTTGGGGTTCTGTACTTTGTTGACAACTGCGGTAGTGACCCCTAAGATTTTAGGGTTTTTTACTTTCGGTATTGGTATGTCATCGACGTGAATGCCTAATTCAAGCCTGACCTCCTTCATCCAGGTGGTAAAGAGGGTCGCCGTTGATTTCGTTGGGGATAGTGTTAGGCTCATCGCAGTGAAGAAGCGAGAAAGAAGCGACGGCTGCAGAGATAGCCGTTTGCTTTTGAGCAGAGGTCGTCAATTCCATTCCCAGACGCCAATATCGAACAGTCGTCAGCGTATGAGATCAGGGAAACTCCCTCAGGTGGCTGGGGGACCTTCGAGATTTAGAAGTTGAACAGGAGGGGGAGAGGACACCACCTTGTGGAACCCCTTGTTTTATTCTTCTTGGTTTCGAGGTTTAATCTCTGAAGATTACTGACGACAGTCGGCCACCTTCTTATCAAGTCGACGTTTAACCTTGGTTGGTTGAGTTTAACAACTTAAATTAGCACTTATGCGTGCCGTCTTAAAACCACTACTCGCAATTTAATCTGAAAGCAGCAGAAGTCAGATATTTATCTCAAACCCAGCATGTGGGGTTCAAGAACTTAAGACGTTGCAGTGGGTTAATATCACTTATGTCTGTTGAACTGCAGAATCAGGATTTGCCTAGAAGCCTGATTCTAGTCCTGCATAGTGCTGGGCAATTGCAGGGCAGATGCTCCACCGTTTCTCCTGCATTTGGAGAATTACAGCTACGACATGAACTGTTGTATTCCAGTCCTAGTCTTTCAGCGTGTATTCCCACGGTACAGTGGCCTGTGTAAACGGCAATTAGTCGAGATAGATCCCTCCTGTTTAATTTTATAAGAAAAGCAGTGCGTTTGGCGAAGTAGGTGGGCCACAGACTCCTGCAGACCCTACAGGATTGTAGGTCTTTCCATCTACTATTAAACACCTTTTTCCAGTGCTGGGAGATGCGGTCCTTAATATAGCTCAGAGGCACAAGAATCTCCTCTGCCTCCAAGATATCCAGAGCCGACCCATTCCTGGCCACCTCGTCAGCCATCTTGTTGCCACGAATTGTGCGGTGCCCCAGCACCCAGATCAGAGCAACGACTTGCCTGTCAGCTAAAACCATAACGTTCGCCCTACACTGATTTATTATGTGGGAGGTGATGCTTACAGAGTCGAGTATCTTGACCGCTGCCTGTCTATCCGAGCAAATAGCAATGCTGGTTTTCGCTAGCTTCGA